TAATGGGTGAAAAAAAGGAATGAGGGGGAGTGGCATCTCAATCAAGATTAAAATGAAACCGATAAAGCAGCATATGGACTGGGTAACAAATCAAAAGCATGTTTATCCACTGAAGGAACTGGTTAATGGAGACTGCCAGCACGTTGCCATGGAAACACTGACTGTTGAGCTGCACCATCTCATACCTTATCCAATACATTCCTGGTTGTTGGTAGTAGTCCAAAGACCCTGATCTCTTGATGGTAAACCCGTGGTCCAGCTGAGCAGAGAGAAATGGGGGCAACTCAGTGGATCGACATTGAGCTAAAGAATTAAGACTCCAGACCAAGCTGTTCTTCATTGACTATATATGTAAGTATCTAGTTATGATGCCTCTTCTACAGGTGACTAGCTAATAATCCTAAATCTGCACATTGGAAACAAAAAGGCAAGAAAGACACTAATCTCCCACGAATATCTCGAAGGCCAATTTGTTAGAATAGATCTAATTTGTCAAACAAGTTTTTGAATGCACATTTAATAATGCCCTCTCAATTTCGAAAGGCATAAATACCTCTTCATTTTTCTACAGAAAGGAAATGCTTTACAATTAAATCAAGTACTGATATAAGCTTTAACCACCTAAGAGAAAGCAGATTGGAACTTCCCCTATCAAAATGTTATCCCAACAGGCTTAAATTGGAAGCTTTCATTAATATAAAAGAGAAAGATTAAAAAAACACATAAATCACTGCAATTTGAATTGTTTTCATTGCGTTCATCTTCAGAAGGCAGAGCTACCCTGAAAGGCACCTCCTAATTACATTCCTGAACTGAAAAGGTAGAGTATAAAATAGCAAATCTGCTCCATAACACTATAGAAAAGGAGAGAAAAGTCGCCCCCACTCTATATTCAAAATGCATCTGTGTATGATTAAATGCTTATGGTTAACAAAAGTACAATAAGCAGAAGACAAGGGAAGTTCTCAACGTTGCTCGTTCTGGAATAGCATGTTCGCCTTTGGCTACGTCAGAATGAAAGGTTCAACCCTCCAATTTGAAAAACCATCATCGGGCGGTGTGCCCAACCCCCTGCTCTCCGCATGACAGGATGCAGCTTGCACACTTTTCTTTAGAGAGGCTCATGAGTGCTTTCAAGTGTGGTACCGGTGTGATGCTGATGACAGTTTCCACTTCAAAATTCACAAAGGCATTTCAAAAACATAGTAGGGTACCAGGCATTTTAACTAAAAGATGCTTGGAGGAACTGATATTCTTATTACAATATAGGCTACCCCAGGTACTCATGGAACAGCAAAGTGAGATTTAGATTTAATCTCTTTTTAAAAAATGCATATTCTGTTTTATTTGGAGGGGGAGTGGGGGAAGAAATCAAAGTTATGAGGGCCGGGGCTAGGGTTTCAGTTAAACAGGAGGGCTACTTAGTAACTAGTTCTCTACTGCCACCTACAGGCAGGGAGTCCCAGAACATGTCAGACTGAGAAGCCCTCTTTGTGAAGGGTTCTTTCACCCTTGAACCAAGGAGCCTTCCAGTATCACAAGTATTTGCACTCTGATTAGCATGGATTAGTTCAATTAGAATGAAATGCTCTATTTTCATGAGCAAAATGCAAAAGAAATACTTTAAAGCATTAGGAAAATTATCGGTTAAAATAATAAACAGCATTAAATGAGGAAAAAGTAATTGGAACTGACATCTTAGTCATTGGTTCTTCATCAAGCTGAGCAAATCTAATAATGCCTCGCTCCCCTCCCTCAGCGCTCAAGAAGTCCACCGTTAAAATGTCATCTCTAATTCCATTTTATGTCTATAAATTGCATTTTAATAACCTTTTGTTTCCTTTTCTCTGTTCTGTTCCATTTTGTTTTGTTTCCTTAATCCCCCAACAACTGGGAAAGGTGGAGCAGGACAATGGAGTCATTCTGAGAGGCAGAAGCTGGGAGCCCCAGGACAGGAAGGGGTTTCCCCCAACCGCACTGCCTGACCTAAATGTCAGAGCACCTTCCCTCTCCCGAGAAGGGCCTATGATCCCTGTGAGCCTCCAGCTGGTAATTACTCTCTGAGCCAGCTGGAGGACCTCTTGCCTGCTTCGTATGAAGTTATCATTTGTCCTTCTCTTTTGTCTTAATAATGCAGGGGATGGGAAGCCGAGAATAAAAAAATGACAATATGAACAAAAAACACTAAGATTCCAAACCACAGTGCATGCTAAACCACGTTCATGTAATAAATTATGTCTGTGACTAGTCTGTTTGTTATGACAGTATGCTCTTTTTCCCTTTGTCACTCTAAGAAAGAAAAAGTGTCATGAATGCCTTTATAAGCATCATTGATCTCCAGTGGGTAGTTTAGGTTTCTAACTAAAAAAAGAGCACTATTAGATAAAAACTATTGACTGCTGATTCTAACTCACTCTAACTCACTGATTCTAACTCACTCTAAGCAGTGTTCAAAAAAATTAAAAGGGTATATAGAATTTCAAAAAACACCAATCCTATGATTGAAGAAATTTAAAATTTAACACATTATAAAAATTGGAACATTTGCATTATGAAAATTGGAACATTAAGAGAATACAATGACATCCCAAGCTACTCTAAAAATTAGTCATAAGAGCAGTCAAATTGACTGATGTCAAATACCTAGTCCTATCCTGAGAGTAGTGATCTGCAAGTTCTCGTGGAGAATGTGGATAGTTATGGAGGAAAAGCAATCTGGAGAAGGTGCATACATGTATAGTTAAGGCATGCCAGTTTCTCCCTAAAAAATGACTGACATTTACAGCAATCTTCTCCCTCATGCTTGAAATATCAATGATAGCAGTTTACATGTGAATTGTGCTTTAGCATTGACAAGGCACTTTTTCCCCAGATAATTCTCCAAAAGTCGATTAATTTGAGTCTGAGTAACTCGGTAACTTATCTTACAATCTTTAACAGATGAAGATCAAGTACACACATTACTAATGTGCAACTCAGCATCACACAGCGCATTTTACATCTAATAATATTGTAGTTTTTAGAGCTTCCATGGAAACACGTTAGTGATAAACTAAGAAACTAATATGAAATTGTATTCCAAATGGTCCAATTATAATATTGAGACAAAAAAGGTGAAACTTTGATCAGACAAATTCTAACTGCAGTTTGTTGTGGTATACTTAAGAAGAAGTTTTAATAAACTATATGGATTAGGTTTCAGAATTTTTCCAGTTTTGATTGAAGGTGGATTCCCCCTTAAATCTGCCTATTGAGAAATAGCCTCATTATCTCTGCTTTTAGTCATGATAATAATACTCATATACTGTGAATAAACTATTATCAAAGAACAAAGGCAAATGTAACCAAAGATTGATTAAAATAAAAAATCAGGAAAAATGAAAATAGAAACAAATGACCAAGGCGGAAAAATAGCCTTTGAAATAGCTGTATGCAGTCAGCAGGAACAGAAAAACAGTCCATTATATGGACAAGCGTGCTAGCAGTCCATTCCAAAACAAACTTGTGGAATTAATCGTTTTGAAATAGACTTACATCTTGAAAGAATGATGAAGACAGAATCTAGTGTCTGGTTTAGTTGAGAATCTCAGTGAGATTGTTATTTCACTAAACACTGTCTGACTATTCTCTGGTAACAAAGAACACTGGCAGTCTATAGAAGACATGAAGGACAATGTCCTACTCCGTGAACTTTCCTAAGAGCGGACTAAAGAGAGAGATCAAGAAGAACATCTTGAAAGTGTAAATTCTCAGAAGCACAAAGGGGCAGCTGAGAGCGTCTGTTTTTACTTAACACTCTGTATACTCATGAGTCAGTTACTCAGGTAACTCGAAATTGAAAGGTACCTTCCATCAAAAATCATGAAATGCAAACAGCCCAAAGAAAGTGTGTGCATACATTGAGGCCACCTGCAAAAGTTTTGAAATTGGTAGCAAATGTTTAGAAACCCCGATCTGGCTGCGTCAAATATGTCATTGATGTACATCTTTAACTTTATCTGAAGCTCTAAGACAACCAAGGGGGGAAAAAAGAGAAAAAGAACAAGAAAACAAAAACCTGTAAAAGAGTTATACGTTCAGTATTGCTAATCAGCATAAGGCAGACTTTTGAGCAGCATAAACCCTTAAAATATTGGCATCATCATGTCTAACCTCTTTGTTTAGAAAAGGAAAACAGATCAAGTGATTTCACACTGAATATGCGATAGAAATTTACATGCTCTGAAAAAAGAGAGGATATTATTAAACACTTGAACAATCTTGGACTTGAATACATTTACTCTAGAATATGACACCAGGAAGTAGGAGGTTTCATTATTTCTCTGCCCAATTTAATCTTTGCCTAGAGCTGCTATCAAATTGCATGTAGTGTATGTCTGCATGTATAGAGCAGGCAAAAAAAAAAAATCCTTGCGCAGCTTCATCAATAAAATGGTAGATGTTCAAAGATATTTCAACTTTGAAACAGAAATTTCTAAAGAGCAAGACATGATGCTATTTTTTTGAGTGTTCGTAGCAATTCCATTTCACTGACAATTTGTGTAAGCTCTCTGCTATGTCTTGGCACTTGCCGAGGTCTCCTACAAAGGTCTATAGTGTTCCAAGCTCTCCCTGCAATTCTGCCTGTCTTTCTCAGCTTCCCTTCCCTCCCAGATTCTGGCAAAAGGACATCATGAACTCTTTTTCTCTGAGCCCCCAAAGTTTGCATTGGCACAAAGTCCAGCATGGGGGAGGTTTTCTGTTTTGAAAAATAAGTCATGAAATTAATACCTACAGCAAGACACCCTGGAGGTGTTGGATAATGATATGACTCCCAGGGAAATGAGCAGCAAAACCGTATTACAGACGAAGCTCCTAAACCTCCCCCCCATGCATCAAATGGTCGAGCTGTCTAAATAAATGACCCATTCTGCTGTCTCTGGGTGGAATCTCCTGAGGGACGACTGTCTCTTAGGTAGACTGCTTTTAAAAACACACAGGCGAATATTTCAGATGCTTACTGCTATGACAGAAACTCCAGCTGCCGTGCTGTTCAGCTTGGGGCCTGTGTTGAAATGCTTCTTTATCTTTCCAGCAACAGACAGCTGATGTTCATTTTCTGGGAGGCCGTCGTCCTGGGAATGGAAAGACAGGGGAGGGTCCAGAAAAATAAAACAATGAGATAAATGGGAAATGAGGCCGAGATCATCTAGCAATAGGTAGTGATATAAAATCTATAGGATTTCAGAAATCAACCCATGATAGTCTTCGCACAGAATGTGGTGGTGGAAAGTACTGCTTCAGATTTTGTTTCATTGCACATGAGCTCTAAAAATGTTATCTTGACTCTCAGAGTTCTGCTTCCCAATACATTTTTAATTTCTATTTCTTGTTGCTCATAAAAATCTATTTTCACCATGGCTCTAGGGATCGATGTCAAAAAGCAAATTAATCTAGCCAGCCAAAAAAAAAATCAATGTAAACATTTTTTTTCTGACCCGAGAGTTTTATCCTCTTAACCCATCATTCAGGCCCAGAGCTGAGGTAACTGTCAGCCCAGAGCTCAGATGGAGGCCCCTAAATAAACTCAGGCTGACTCTACAGCTACTCAATCTGCCATTCTGGAATCCCAGGCAACCTTCCAGGCAGAAAGTTCTTCCTTAAGTTTTCAAACCTCCTTGCTGTCTTCAAATCATCTGTTATTATTATGACATACCTCACATTGGAGCTCACTGGAACTAAGGCTTCAGCTCGCAGTTGGAGCTCACTAGGATGTGGGCTGGATAGATGGCTGGCTTTGGTTAAAAAGGGGCCAGAATCATAGCCAGAGTCACAAGTACGTGCCACCACCCGGTCATCATGAAAAGCTGCACAGTGCGAGGGAGAAGGCTCCCAGGATGGGAGCAGATTTGCACAGGAGATCCCTGGGTCATCCCAGCGCTACACAGTCTCTTGACCACTCCTGGGTGCAGCCCTGAATACTGAGACAAGAGTAGTTTCCTGATCCCAAGCACAGGGTGTGGAGAGAGAGAGAGAGAGAGAGAGAGAGAGAGAGAGAGAGAGAGAGAGAGAGAGAGCGCTGTACAATCTTTGAAGCTTTGAAGAAGGTTGTTTTGTTGCTTCAGGTTGTTTTGAATCTTCAGATTAGCAGAGCACTTAGGGACAAGGTAAACATTTCATAAATATTAGCTATGAATAAATAAAGAATGGACGCTAAAGCGTTACCTTCTAATAAAGCTCAAACCCAAATCTGCCGGCAAAACTGGAGTCTTGCTTTTATCATGTTGTTTCTCTGCCATTTTGCAAGCAATTTCTTAGCTCCACATGGGACAGCACATTTGCATCTTCCTGAGCAGGATTTGCTCACTCTTCTATAGAACTGGTATTTTTGTTTTGTTTCGTTTTGGGGTTACTCAGGAGTTTCTTCTGGCTCTGCACTCAGTGATCACTCCTGGCAGGGCTTGGGGAACCATATGTGGGGCAGGGAATTGAACCCGGGACAGCTGCCTGTAAGACAAGTGCATTGCCCTCTGTACTATCTTCTCTGACCACTGAAACCTGGTATTTCTGCACAGGATTCATTTCTTATTACAGCACTGTACTAATTGTTTACTCAGCCAGTGTGAATTGCCTGGCCACTGTGGAGCAGACCAGACAGTAGCTCATGGGAAAACGGGGCACAAAACGAGGCATGGCACTTTCTCTTTGTTTCAAAACCTGGACTCAAAGGACCTGTTCCAAGAATGATGACGACTCTTCTGTGAATCCCAGTCATTATTTTTCATTAGATATATTTGCACTATTTATTTACTTATTTATTTTTTGCTTTTTGGGTCACACTCAGTGATGCTCAGGCGTGACTCCTGGCTCTGCACTCAGGAATTACTCCTGGCAGTGCTCGGGGAACCATATGGGATGCCAGGGATCGGAACTCGGGTCGGTCGAGTGCAAGGCAAACGCCCTACCCACTGTACTGTTGCTCCAGCTTCCTCTTTTTGGTTTTCAGTGACTATATGTGTCATATATGTGTGTATTTATACATATGAAAGATAAAAGATTCATATGCATCACATATATGAACATACTGACATCTTTTTGTGCTTTTTGTAATGGCACTTTTTTATTTATTGGAGGGAACTTCAGAGGGGACACATTCATTGATGGTTCTGTGCCACTAATGTTCTGTGAACCACATGGTGCTAGAGATCGAGTCAGAGTTGGCTGCGTTCAAAACAAGTGCCTTAACCCCTGTATTCTCTTCCCAGCCTCGTTTGCTTTATAATAGAAGCCACTGGGACAGTGCCCTGCACACAGTGGAAAGTTAGCTTATGATATTTCGACTCATTTATATCACGCAATCTATCTAACTTTGGATCATGGGGCCACACTCAGCAGTGCTCAGGGCCTATCCCTAGCCCTATGCTCAGGAGTAAGCTGTATGTGCTGGCAGGGATCAGGGTTAACTGCATGCAAGTCACGTGCCTGGTGTCTTAAACTATTTTTGTGGTCCCGGGACTCAATTTGTTAAATGACTAGAAGGAAGACTTGGAACGCTGGTTAGGTCAGATACAAAACTAGATATGAAGTAAGCTTACCCTGTGGTTCAGAGCTCACTCAAAGTACAAAGCAAAAACTGTTTTAGAGCCCTGGAGATACCCCCAAGGTCTGAAACACATGTTTTTCAGGCAGAAGGTCTGGGTTCTGTTTCCTGAGTACCACCAGGAGCAACCCCTGAGTATCACCATGTATGACCCCCAAATTCAAACTAAAGCAACAGCAACAAAAATCTGTATTGCAGAAAGAGTTGGAAGTAAAGTACAGGTGAATCAGGGTCCCATGGAATGATGTCGGGGGGAGGAAACAGAAACAAGGATATAGCAAGTGTCTACTAGGTCTGGGGTTATGTTGGGAGGGACACGGGTAAGCGAAGGTCTCTGCCTATCAGAATTCTGTAGGCAACAGAGAGACAAAGTCTGCACACCCCATGACATCATGGAATAGTTACCAAACAGGTTGCAGAGCTTCTGCGCTCCACTAGAAACACCAGCGGAACGGAAAGAAGGCAGCAAGTTTCTTTTGTGACCAGTCAGCTCCCACTGGGTCCTCAGTGATGCTGGGTCTGTGTGCCCATACAGAGGAGGGAGATGGGTGTTTCTGTGTGTAGGGGATACGTCACAGCCATGTTTGACCAACTGTGAGTCCTCCAGTGTATCTCTGATTTGGAATGTCTGAGGAAGAGGGCCAGAGAGTTAGCACAAAAGTTGGGGCTCTTGCTTTGTTTGTGGCTGACCCTGGTTTGATCCCTGGAACCACATGATCCACTGAGCACCGTGGGGAGTGACTGAGCACAGAGCTGGGAGAAGCCCTCCAGCACTGCGGCATGTGGCCTCCATACCTCTTTAAAAGTTTATGTGGGAGAATAATGTCAGGGCAGCTGAATTAGCAGGGGAAAATGTGTCACAATGAATACAAAAATGATAGGGTTGAAGACTTATTAGGAAAACAATTTTTTATTTGTTTTTTTTTTGTTTTTTGTTTTTTTTTTTGCTTTTTGGATCACGCTTAGCAATGCTCAGGGGTTCCTCCTGGCTTTGCACTCAGTAATTACTCCTGGTGGTGCTTGGGGGACCATATGGGATGCTGGGGATCGAACCCAGGTCAGTCAAGTGCAAGGCAAACGCCCTAACTGCTGTGCTCTCGCTCTGGCCAGGAAAACAATTTTTTAAAAAAGAGGTATGGTGGGGCTAGAGAGATAGTGCAGCAGATAGGGTGTTTGCCTTGTACATAGCCAACCCAGGTTCAGTCCCTGGCCTCCCATGCCCTGAGCTGCGCCAGGAATGACTCCTGACTGCAGAGCCAGGAGTGATCCCTGAGCACTGCTGGGTGGTCCAAAACCAAAAAGAGGTGTGTTAAGTATAAAAGCTACCTTCCCTTAACTCGTTTTACACTCGAAGATTTTTTTTACACTACAGTATGCAGTTCCCGACTCTATATGTGAAAGAAAATTTCCCAGCACTGTGAGATTTCTCAAGCACCCTGGGAATGGCCCTAAGTGAGTACTATTCAGGAAGTAGTCCCAGAACACGGCCAGATATGGACCCACCCTCTACCTCTAATCCCCATCTCCAAAAAAAATATTTAGGATGGCATGATCTGGAGCTTAACACACTGGGAAATATTAGCAGTGGAAAAAAGCACTTTTTAAAAAGTGGTTAATGAAATAGCAGGCTCTTGCAATTGAACTCAGATAACAGCACTTGAAGTTAAGTTTGAATTTTTTTTTAAGCGATGCAAGGCAGTTTTTTTACTAGCAAAACTTACTATTTCTAGTGAATTGTCTCTGTTGTGATTTGGAGCTCGTTTGAAATTAAGGGGAGAGCCTGCTAAGTGGGGTATACCACTAAGCCTCACCCAAGTACACAGAAGTTCATTGAATTCATAGAGTGCTAGGAGACTTCAGGCAATGAGATTTGCATAAGCTTTTCTTTGTTAAGACAGTTTGAAACAGAGGCTTTTTTATTTTTTGGTTTTGGGGCCACATCTGGCGGTGCTCAGGGATTACTCCTGGTTCTATACTTAGGAATTATTCAGGGTACCACAAGGGATGCTGGGAATTGAACCCAGGTCAGCCACGTGCAAGGCAAATGCCCTATGCCCTACCTGCTGTGCTGTTGCTCTGGAAAAAGAAGATCCTTTTCAAACTGAGTTTGAAAAAAGAGGGAAAACTGGTCTAAGGAAGGTTTTCAATGGAAGGACAAAGGACACTGAGCATATCTGTATTCCTGGGATGAAATGTAGGCAATACAAAAGGAGAGTTCTGAGACAGGAGAAAGATGACTCGAGTGGCAGCAGGAGGGGGAACTAGGGTCAGCAGTTTGCTGGAGAAGTGAAGCTCCTCCTCAGAGATATGATGGAGGAAGGAGGGAAAAGCGGGAGACTTATTCTAAGTGAAGGGGAATAATAAAAAGAGAAATACTGGGGGGTGGGGAGACAATGTGTGTCTATTATCTGGTCTGCCAACAATGGACATACATGATCTCTGTATTCCTCATACTATTCTCCTCAACATGCATTCTAGACCCATTTTGAGAGTGAGTGAAAATCAAGGCTCATTCAAGGTGAAATCACTTGCACA